TGAACAAGGGCCACTGCTGCCTCACCGCGAGCACTGTGTGCTGTTCTGGCCACCACAGTACAAAAAGGATGTAAATCTGTTGGAGAGTGTCCAGAGAAGGGCCACAAAGACGGTGAAGGGCCTAGAGTGGAAGACGAATGAGGAGCGGCATGAGGTCACTGGGCCTGTTCAGCCTGGAGAAGAGGAGGATGAGGGGGGACATCATCGTGGTCTACAATTTCCTCACAAGGGGGAGTGATGGGGCAGGAGCTGATCTATTCCTCTTAATCACCAGTGGTAGGACCCGAGGGAATGGTGTCAAGCTGAGGCAGGGGAGGTTCAGGCTGGCCATCAGGAAGAGGATTCTTCACCAAGAGGGTGATCACACACTGGAACAGGCTCTCCAGGGAAGCACTCACCTGCACCAAGCCTGCCTAAATTTAAGAAGTGATTGGACTGGGCACCTAGTCACAGGGTCTAAATTTTGGGTAGGCCTGTGCGGTGCCAGGAGCTGGACTCAATGATCCTCCTGGATCCCTTCCAACTCGGGATATTCCATCAGTCTATGCTTCTGTTCCCCCGGGGCTCGGCCTCCTTGAGGTTTCCCACAGGGAAGTGACCGGTGCTGTGGGCTGGGTGCCCGTGTCCCTTGCTGCTCCTCTCCTGTCCTGGGGCACTGGGAACCCACACCCACACCAGTGGCTCTTGGTGCCCCCTGGGGGGTCCAAAGCCCTTTCCCTCCCGGTTCTTGAGGTTCCTCCTCCAACACCTTTGTAGCTCGGGACAAGTGTCAGAGGGTGCCCTCTGGGGTCAGGTTCTGCCTGGTGACGGGTGATGCTGCGCAGCCCCGCTGCTCACTGGTTGTAACTGGGATGCCCAGTGCCAGCACTGGGTGGAGTCTTGCCTTGCCTGGGGTCCCAGCACCCCTCATGCTGTGCCCAGCAGCCATGGGGAGCGGCCGCATCCTGGTAGCTGGGGCCGTGCTGGTGGCACTGGTGGTGCTGGGAGCCCGCCCGGCTGGAGGCGAGGAGACCAAGGGTGAGCTCAACCCCATGCCGTGGGGCAGGATCCCACATGTGGCTGTTGGGGGGGAGGTGGAATGGGGGGGGGGGGACCCTCGGCCCTGGCACCTCCACGCGGGGTGTGGGCATCCACAGCCACTGCCTCAGCCTCTGCCCTGGAAGCCTGGGAGCTGAGGGCTTTGGGGGGGGCTCAGTGAGTTTGGAGGTGCTGCTCCCACCCTGGGGCTCTGTTGCGTCCTGGCTCCCTCCTCTGGGCTCCTTCCCTGCACTCCCCCCATCTCTTGCCCCCAGGACCCTCCCCAGGAGCCATTTGGCGTCTTCCCATCCCCAGCACGTGGGGCTCCAGGGGGTCAGGGTCACGGCATCGGTGTCACTGCGGCTGGGAGGGGAATGGGGATGGGGAGGGGACTCCAGTGAGTCTGCTGGGGGCTGGGGGCCTGGGAAGGGGGAGTGGGACCCCCTAACCCGCCCTGCCCATACAGGGTTCCTCCAGGAGATGATGGTGGGTGAGTGTCAGTACCTCAACGGCACTGAGCGGGTGAGGTATCTGCTGAGGTACATCTACAACGGGCAGCAGTACGCGCACTTTGACAGCGATGTGGGGCATTTTGTGGCTGACACGGAACTGGGCAAGCCTGATGCTGACTACTGGAACAGTCTGCCTGAAGAAATGGCGTACAGACGGGGTGAAGTAGACAGGTACTGCCGGCACAACTATGAGGTGGTGACACCTTTCACCGTGGACAGGAGAGGTGCGTGGACACGAGCCCGGGGCTGGTGGGGCTGGGCGTCCTCTGCACCCTGGGGGCCAGGCACATCCCGGGGGGGCAGCGCATCCATCCCCGTCCCGCCCGGTGCCGGGGGCAGCGGTGCAGGTGAGCGCTGGGCTCTCGCCGCCCGCGCCCAGCTCTCTCCCTCTCCCCGCAGTTGAGCCCAAGGTGAGGGTCTCTCCCATGCAGTCGAGCTCGCTGCCCCAGACCGACAGGCTGGCGTGCTACGTGACGGGCTTCTACCCCGCCGAGATCCAGGTGAAGTGGTTCAAGAATGGCCAGGAGGAGACGAAGCACGTGGTGTCCACGGACGTGATCCAGAACGGGGACTGGACCTACCAGGTGCTGGTGATGCTGGAAAGCACCCCGCAGCACGGGGACACCTACGAGTGCCACGTGCAGCACGCCAGCCTGAAAAGCCCCATCACCCACGAATGGGGTAAGGCCCCGACCCCTGCCTCCTGGGGGTGTCCGGGAGTCCCGAGCCCCCAGCCTGCTGCAGGCAGGGAGCGGGAGCACGGCCCGGGCCTGAGCCCCCGCTCCTGTCCCCGCAGTGCTCCCAGCGGATGCCGCCAGGGGCAAGATGCTGACGGGCGTCGGGGGCTTGGTGCTGGGGCTCATCTTCCTGGCGCTGGGGCTCTTCCTCTACGTGCGCAGAAAGGTGAGCGGCCGGGGCGCTGGGGGTGGCGTGGGGCTGGGGGTCCGCGCTCTCCCCCCGCGCTGCCGCTGACCTGGTCTCGCTGTGTTGCAGGGCGCATCGCTCCCCCGGCTGCAGGTAACGTCCCCCACCCGCGGCCCTGCTGCACCCTCCCCATGCGGGCTGCTTCCCCTTGCCCCCCTCCCAGCACCACGGCAGCGCCCCGGGGCCGCAGGCAGCGTGGCCCTGGGGGGCCGTGGGGCACAGGGCTGGGGAGCCGCCCCCCACCCGCTGCTCACCCCCTGCTCTCTCCCCGCAGGGCTCCTGAAGCAGCTCCGGCTCCTGCGCCTCGGCTCCTCCGTGCCCAGCACCGCCTCTGCCCCGTGCTCGCCCGGCTCCTGCCCTCAATACCCGGTCCCGCAGCCCCACAGCCCTCTGCTGCTCCTTATGGTCACCCTCTCCCTCTCTTCCATCCCAGTCCAGCTTGGCATGGGCCGTTGTGAGCCCCAAATAAAGTGTCCCAGTGCCCTGCGTCCCTGCTGCCTTGGGAACGGTGAGGCAGGTGTTGGCTCCGCTATCCCTGCGCACGCATCTCCAAAGCCTTGGTTTGGACGGGGCTGCATATGAGCCAGCAGCCTGCTCAGGTGGCCAAGAAGACCACCAGCATCCTGGCTTGTATCAGAAATGGTGTGGCCAGGAGGATTAGAAAGAACATGGGCTCATCATCAAGGAGTGTAGTGCTAGGACTACGGGAAACGTTTTTAAACTAAAAGAGGGCAGGTTTAGATATAGGAGGAAATTCTTTCCTGGAGGTGTTCAAGGCCAGGCTGGACTGGGCTCTGGGCAACCTGGTCTGGTGGGAGGTGTCCCTGCCCATGGCAGGGGGGTTGGAATTTTACAATCCTTAAGGTCCCTACCAACCCAAACCATTTTGTGATATGTTGTCCAGGACAGTATCAAATGCTTTGGACAAGTCTCGGTAGATGAAGTTAGTTGCTCGTCCCTTATCCACCAATTCTGTCACTCTCATAGAAGGTCACCAAGTCGGTCAGGAATATTTGCGCTTAGTGAAGCCCCGCTGGCTGTCACCAGTTGCCTGGTGACAAAAAAATGGGGGTTAGGTTTCCCCTTTTCCATTCGCTGGGGACTTCACCAGTCTGCCATGACTTTTCGGCGGTGATGGGTATTGTCTTAGGAACTACCCAGTCATTCGTTTCTCCAGCTCTTCATCCAACCAACCATAAGTCTTTCACTCCATCCACCCCATCCGTCCATCTTCCATCCCATCCCATCCATCCACCCATGTGTCCATCTAACCCTTCCATCAGACATCCAGTCCATGGTCCAGTCAGCGTCCAAGGAGCCACCGGGGCTGCTGATGCCCTGCTGTGCGGTCCCTCCAGCAGATTTGAGGGAAGCACCCCGTGAGAAGCAGAGCCTGCGGGTGTGAGGCTGCTCCTCTGTCTGCAGAGGGCATCCTCCGCTTCTCCTGCTCCGCTACGGGCACCTTCAGCTGCCCTCCCATTTCCCCAAACCCACCCCGTCCCGGGGGGGCTCCTCCTCCAAAGGAGCTCACGCACTGTGGCTGCCCTTGGCCATGGCCCCCCAGACCCTTCAGACACCAGAGTGGGGGCAGCAGGCAGAGGGACGGGGCAGTTCCTGCAGTGCCTCCAAGGGGTCAGGGTAACGGCGTCGGTGTCACCGCGGCTGGTAGGGGAGTGGGCACGAGGAGGGGGCTCCAAGGGCGTCTGTGCGGGGGACCGGGGGACTGGGGAGGGGAAGCAGGACCCCCTGCCCTCCCTGCCCACGCAGGGTTCTTCCAGTTCCACCTCCAGCTGCAGTGTCACTTCCCCACCACCACCGAGCGGGTGACGCTGCCGGAGCGCTCCAGCAGCGAGGGGCAGCAGGACGAGCGCCGTGGCCACGACCTGTGGCGTGCGAGAGCCGTGGGCTACTCAAGTCCTCCTACCAGCCTTCACTCCCCCAACACCCAGGGTGCCACGGTGGCCCCACGCCCCTCGTCCCCTCCATCCTCAGCCCTGCCACCCCCTGAGGCTGTTCCTTGGCACCTCCCGTGCTGCCCGGCGGAGCAACGGTGCTTGGGGGCAGCCCAGTGTCACTGGAGCCCCGTTGTCGCCACTTTGTGGGGTGCTTGGCCCCAAAATGCTGTGGGGACTGGGGGATTTGGGGGGAGCACAGTGGGACCTGGGTGGGACGGTGGCGTGACCCCCGGGGTACCGCGTGGGGATGGTGGGTGGGTACAGGGGGACTGCGGGGTGTCCCAGCCTGGGGACCAGTTTGGGGCTGGACCAGGGGAGCAGCGGGCTCTGGTGGGGCCATGTTGGGGCTCAGGGTGGGGAGAGGGGTCCCTGAGGGAGCTGGATGGGTGCCCCAGCTCCCAGACCCCTAAGGTCCTGCCCAGGACCCTCGCACCCCGCACCCATCCCCAACACCCAGAGGCAGCAGGACGCTGGTTCCGCCACCAGCCCCCCTCCCACAGGACCCTTCACTCAGCAGCCCCCCCGGGCTCTGCAGACCCAGACCCCAAGCAGCCCCGTCCCCCCCAAGGCTTTGGAGCCGCGTACGCGGGGATGGCGGTGCCCGCCCCTGCCCCACCGTCCCCACAGCAGCAGGGACGCAGGGCACTGGGACACTTTATTTGGGGCTCCCAGTGGCCCCAGCCAAGCCAGAATGGGATGGGAGCAAGGGAGGGGGTGACCATAGGGAGCAACAGAGGGCTATGGGGCTGCGGGACCGGGTATCGAGGGCAGGAGCCGGGCGAGCACGGGGCAGAGGCGGTGCTGGGCACGGAGGAGCCGAGGCGCAGGAGCCGGAGCTGCTTCAGGAGCCCTGCGGGGAGAGAGCAGGGGGTGAGCAGCGGGTGGGGGGCAGCGCCCCAGCCCTGTGCCCCACGGCCCCCCAGGGCCACGCTGCCTGCGGCCCCGGGGTGCTGCCCTGGTGCTGGGAGGGGGCAAGGGGAAGCAGCCCGCACGGGGAGGGTGCAGCAGGGCCACGGGTGGGGGACGTTACCTGCAGCCGGGGGAGCGATGCGCCCTGCAACACAGCGAGACCAGGTCAGCGGCAGCGCGGGGTGAGAGCGCGGCCCCCCCAGCCCCACGCCACCCCCAGCACCCCGGCCGCTCACCTTTCTGCGCATTTAGGCCAGTTCTCTTCAATGTTTTATAAACCATGTGGATGTAAGTAGAAGGTTTTTGGAGCAAATTTGCTGACGACACCAAACTTGGAGGAGTTGTGGACTCGGCTGAGGGTGGGAAAGCCTTGCACAGGGATCTGGACAGATGGGAGAACTGGGAGATCACCAACTGCATGCAGTTTAACAAGAGCAAGGCCACTGTGGCCTCACCTCAAGCACTGTGTGCTGTTCTGGGCACCATGGTACAAAAAGGATGTAAATCTGTTGGAGAGTGTCCAGAGAAGGGCCACAAAGAGGGTGAAAGGCCTAGAGGGAAAACATGAGAAACAGCTGAGGGAACAGGGCCTGTTCAGCCTGGAGAAGAGGAGGCTGAGGGAGGACATCATCGTGGTGCACAACTTCCTCACAATGGGGAGGGAAGGGGCAGGAGCTGATCGATTCCTCTTAATCACCAGTGATAGGTGATAGGACCTGAGGGAATGGTGTCAAGCTGAGGCAGGGGAGGTTCAGGCTGGCCATCAGGAAGAGATTCTTCACCGAGAGGGTGATCACACACTGGAACAGGCTCCCTGGGGAAGCTGGACTCGATGATCCTCCTGGGTTCCTTCCAACTCAGGATATTCCATTGTTCTATGATTCTGTTCCCCCGGGGTTCGGCCTCCTTGAGGTTTCCCACAGGAAAGTGACCGGTGCTGTGGGCTGGGTGCCCATGTCCCTTGCTGCTCCTCTCCTGTCCCGGGGCACTGGGACCCCACACCAGTGGCTCTTGGTGCCCCCTGGGGGGTCCAAAGCCCCTTCCCTCCCGGTTCTTGAGGTTCCTCCTCCAACACCTTTGTAGCTCGGGACAAGTGTCAGAGGGTGCCCTCTGGGGTCAGGTTCTGCCTGGTGACGGGTGATGCTGCGCAGCCCCGCTGCTCACTGGTTGTAACTGGGACGCCCAGTGCCAGCACTGGGTGGAGTCTTGCCTTGCCTGGGGTCCCGGCACCCCTCATCCTGTGCCGAGCAGCCATGGGGAGCGGCCGCATCCTGGGAGCTGGGGCCGTGCTGGTGGCACTGGTGGTGCTGGGAGCCCGCCCGGCTGGAGGCGAGGAGACCAAGGGTGAGCTCAGCCCCACGCCGTGGGGCAGGATCCCACGTGTGGCTGCTGGGGGGGAGGTGGGATGGGGGGGGTCGTCAGCCCTGGCACTGCCACGCGGGGTGTGGGCATCCGCAGCAACTACCTCAGCCTCTGCCCTGGAAGCCTGGGAGTAGAGGGTTTTGGGGCCTCAGGGAGCTGGGGGGTGCTGCCCCCACCCTGGGGCTCTGTTGTGTCCTGGCTCCCTCCCTTGGGCTCCTTCCTTGCGCTCCCCCATCTCTTGTCCCCTCCTGCCCTCAGGACCCTCCCCAGGAGCCCCTCAGCCTCTTCCTGATTGCAGCTTGTGGGGCTCCAGGGGTCAGGGTCACAGCATCGGTGTCACGGTGGCTGGGAGGGGAGTGGGGATGGGGAGGGGGCTGGAGGGTGGGGAGGGGGCTCCAGGGCATCTGAATGGGGCCTGGGAAGGGGGAGCGGGACCCCCTAACCTGCCCTGCCCATACAGCGTTCTTCCAGGAGATGCTGGTGTCTGAGTGTCAGTACCTCAACGGCACCGAGCAGGTGAGGTTTCTGCAGAGGCTCATCCACAACCGGCAGCAGTTAGCGCACTATGACAGTGACCTGAAGCGTTTTGTGGCTGACACGGAACTGCTCAAGCCTGATGCTGACTACTGGAACAGTCAGCCCGAACTACTGGAGAAGCGCGGGCTGCAGTAGACACGTTCTGCCGATACAACTACTTTATGGCCTTTCATTCACACGTGGACAGGAGAGGTGCGTGGACACGAGCCCGGGGCTGGTGGGGATGGGCGTCCTCTGCACCCTGGGGGCCAGGCACATCCCGGGGGGGCAGCGCATCCATCCCCGTCTCGCCCGGTGCCGGGGGCAGTGGTGCAGGTGAGCGCTGGGCTCTCGCCGCCCGCGCCCAGCTCTCTCCCTCTCCCCGCAGTTGAGCCCAAGGTGAGGGTCTCTCCCATGCAGTCGAGCTCGCTGCCCCAGACCGACAGGCTGGCGTGCTACGTGACGGGCTTCTACCCCGCCGAGATCCAGGTGAAGTGGTTCAAGAACGGCCAGGAGGAGACGAAGCACGTGGTGTCCACGGACGTGATCCAGAACGGGGACTGGACCTACCAGGTGCTGGTGATGCTGGAAAGCACCCCGCAGCACGGGGACACCTACGAGTGCCACGTGCAGCACGCCAGCCTGAAAAGCCCCATCACCTTCGAATGGGGTAAGGCCCCGACCCCCGCCTCCTGGGGGCGTCCCGGGGGTCCCGAGCCCCCAGCCTGCTGCAGGAGGGGAGCGGGAGCACGGCCCCGGGCCTGAGCCCCCGCTCCTGTCCCCGCAGTGCTCCCAGCGGATGCCGCCAGGGGCAAGATGCTGACGGGCGTTGGGGGCTTGGTGCTGGGGCTCATCTTCCTGGCGCTGGGGCTCTTCCTCTACGTGCGCAGAAAGGTGAGCGGCCAGGGCACTGGGGGTGGCGTGGGGCTGGGGGGGCCGCGCTCTCCCCCCGCGCTGCCGCTGACCTGGTCTCGCTGTGTTGCAGGGCGCATCGCTCCCCCGGCTGCAGGTAACGTCCCCCACCTGCGGCCCTCTGCACCCTCCCCGTGCGGGCTGCTTCCCCTTGCCCCCCTACCAGCAGCAGGGCAGCGCAGCCCTGGGGGGCCGTGGGGCACAGGGCTGAGGCGCTGCCCCCCACCCGCTGCTCACCCCCTGCTCTCTCCCCGCAGGGCTCCTGAAGCAGCTCCGGCTCCTGCGCCTCGGCTCCTCCGTGCCCAGCACCGCCTCTGCCCCGTGCTCGCCCATCTCCTGCCCTCGATACCCGGTCCTGCAGCCCCACAGCCCTCTGCTGCTCCCTATGGTCACCCTCTCCCTCGCTCCCATCCCAGTCCGGCTTGGCTGGAGCCACTGGGAGCCCAAATAAAGTGTCCCAGTGCCCTGCGTCCCTGCTGCTGTGGGGACGGTGGGGCAGGGGCGGGCACCACAATCCCCGCTAACATGGCTCCTAAGCCTTGGGGGGGACGGGGCTGCTTGGGGTCTGGGTCTGCAGAGCCCGCGGGGCGCTGAGTGAAGGGTGAAGGCAGCGTCCTGTGGGAGGGGGGCTGGTGGTGGAGCCAGCGTCCTGCTGCCTCTGTGTGTTGGGGATGGGTGCGGGTGCGAGGGTCCTGGGCAGGGCTTTTGGGGTCTGGGAGCTAGGGGACCCATCCAGCTCCCTCAGCGACCCCTGTCCCCACCCTGAACTCCAACATGGCCCCACCAGAGCCCGCTGCTCCCCTGGTCCGGCCACAAACTGGTCCCCAGGCTGGGACACCCCACGGTCCCCCTGTACCCACCCACCATCCCCACGCGGTACCCCGGGGGTCACGCCACCGTCCCACCCAGGTCCCACTGTGCTCCCCCCAAATCCCCCAGTCCCCACAGCATTTTGGGGCCAAGCACCCCACAAAGTGGTGACAACGGGGCTCCAGTGACACTGGGCTGCCCCCAAGCACCGTTGCTCCACTGGGCAGCACGGGGGGTGCCAAGGAACAGCCTCAGGGGGCGGTCAGGGCTGAGGATGGAGGGGATGAGGGGCGTGGGGCCACCGTGGCACCCTGGGTGTTGGGGGAGTGAAGGCTGGTAGGAGGACTTGAGTAGCCCACGGCTCTCACACGCCACAGGTCGTGGCCACGGCGCTCGTCCTGCTGCCCCTCGCTGCTGGAGTGCTCCGGCAGCGTCACCCGCTCGGTGGTGGTGGGGAAGTGACACTGCAGCTGGAGGTGGAACTGGAAGAACCCTGCGTGGGTTCTTCTTCCAGACCCCGGCTGCTCCCCGGGGTCGCCCCCTGCCTTGATCCGTTCCCAGCCCGGCTGTTTCTGGGGACACGTGCTGGTGTCGTTCCTGCCCCATTCACTCCCCCCGCACACACATATTGGGTTGGGTTGAGACCTGTTGCCCCCGGGGCTCTTGGCCTCCTTGAGCCCTGTTACGGGCAGGCCTCAAAGGGTTGTAGGAAATGGGGCCGAATCAGTCTCCAGGGTCAACAGTGGTGTCCCCTCAGGCTCCATTTTAGGGCCAGTCCTCTTCAATGTCTTTATAAACCATGTGGATGTAGGACTAGAAGGTGTTTGGAGCAAATTTGCTGACAACACCAAACTTGGAAGAGCTGTGGACTCAGCTGAGGGTGGAAAGTCCTTGGGAAACGCCTTGCTGAGGGCCCCTGCCCCATTCATGCCTCATTCACCACCCCACACACACACCCATGCGTATGGGTTGAGCCCTATTCGCCTCGAGGCTCTTAGCCCTGTTATCACAGAATCACAGAATTATCTAGGTCGGAAGAGACCTCGAGATCATTGAGTCCAACCTCTGACCTAATACTAAGAAGTCCTCCACTAAACCATATCCCTAAGCTCTACATCTAAACGTCTTTTAAAGACTTCCAGGGATGGTGACTCCACCACTTCCCTGGGCAGCCCATCCCATCGCCTCAAAACCCTCTCAGTAAAGAAGTTCTTCCTAAGATCCAACCTAAAACAACCCTGGTGCAACTTTAGCCCGTTCCCCCTCATCCTATCATCGGGCTCGTGAGAGAACAGACCAACCCCCACTTCACTTCAGCATCCATTAAGGTACCTGTGGATTGAGATAAGGTTGCCCCTGAGTCTCCTCCAAGCTGAACAAGCCCAGCTCCTTCAGCCGCTCCTCGTAGGACTTGTTCTCCAGGCCCCTCACCAGCTTCGTCGCCCTTCTCTGGACTCGCTGAAACACCTCGATGTCCTTCTTGTAGCGAGGGGCCCAAAACTGAACACAGTACTCGAGGTGCGGCCTCACCAGAGCCGAGTACAGGGGGACAATCACCTCCCTAGCCCTGCTGGTCACACTGTTTCTGATACAAGGCAGGATGCCGTTGGCCTTCTTGGCCACCTGAGCACACTGCTGCCTCATATTCAGCCGACTGTCCACCATCACTCCCAGGTCCTTCTCTGCCTGGCAGCTCTCCAACCACTCATCTCCCAGCCCGTAGCTCTGCTTGGGGTTATTGCGCCCCAGGTGCAGGACCCGGCACTTGGCCTTGTTGAACTTCATACAGTTGACCTCAGCCCATCGGTGCAGCCTATCCAGATCCTCCTGCAGAGCTTTCCTACCCTCGAGCAGATCGACACACGCACCTAACTTGGTGTCAACTGCAAACTTACTGAGAGTGCACTAAATCCGCTCATCCAGATCATTGATGAAGATGTTAAAGAGGACCGGCCCCAGCACCAAGCCCTGGGGAGCGCCACTAGTGACCAGCCTCCAACTGGATTTGACTCCATTCACCACAACTCTTGGGGCCCAGCTATCCAGCCAGTTTCTAACCCAATGAAGCGTGCGCCAGTCCAAGCCATGAGCAGCCAGTTTCTTGAGTTATGGGCAGGTCTCAAAGGGTCGTGAGAAACAGGGCCGCTTCAGGCTGGCGGATGGTCAATACTGGGGGCCCCTCAGTCCCTCAGGCTCCATTTTAGGCCTCGTCCTCTTCAATGTCTTTATAAACCATGTGGATGTAGGAGTAGAAGGTGTTTGGAGCAAATTTGCTGACGACACCAAACTTGGAGGAGTTGTGGACTCGGCTGAGGGTGGGCAGGCCTTGCGGAGGGATCTGGACAGATGGGAGAGCTGGGCGATCACCAACTGCATGCAGTTTAACAAGAGCAAGGCCACTGCGGCCTCACCTCGAGCACTGTCTGCTGTTCTGGGCACCATGGTACAAAAAGGACTATTGGAGAGTGTCCAGAGAAGGCCCACAAAGACGGTGAAAGGCCTAGAGGGAAAACATGAGAAACAGCTGAGGGAACAGGGCCTGTTCAGCCTGGAGAAGAGGAGGCTGAGGGAGGACATCATCGTGGTGCACAACTTCCTCACAACGGGAAGGGAAGGGGCAGGAGCTGATCTATTCCTCTTAATCACCAGTGATAGGTGATAGGACCTGAGGGAATGGTGTCAAGCTGAGGCAGGGGAGGTTCAGGCTGGCCATCAGGAAGAGATTCTTCACCGAGAGGGTGGTCGCACACTGCAACAGGCTCCCTGGGGAAGCTGGACTCGATGATCCTCCTGGGTCCCTTCCAACTCGGGATATTCCATCAGTCTATGATTCTGTTCCCCCGGGGCTCGGCCTCCTTGAGGTTTCCCACAGGGAAGTGACCGGTGCTGTGGGCTGGGTGCCCGTGTCCCTTGCTGCTCCTCTCCTGTCCCGGGGCACTGGGACCCCACACCCACACCAGTGGCTCTTGGTGCCCCCTGGGGGGTCCAAACCCCCTTCCCTCCTGGTTCGTGAGGTTCCTCCTCCAACACCTTTGTAGCTCGGGACAAGTGTCAGAGGGTGCCCTCTGGGGTCAGGTTCTGCCTGGTGACGGGTGATGCTGCGCAGCCCCGCTGCTCACTGGTTGTAACTGGGAGGCCCAGTGCCAGCACTGGGTGGAGTCTTGCCTTGCCTGGGGTCCCAGCACCCCTCATCCTGTGCAGAGCAGCCATGGGGAGCGGCCGCATCCTGGGAGCTGGGGCCGTGCTGGTGGCACTGGTGGTGCTGGGAGCCCGCCCGGCTGGAGGCGAGGAGACCAAGGGTGAGCTCAGCCCCACGCCGTGGGGCAGGATCCCACGTGTGGCTGCTGGGGGGGAGGTGGGATGGGGGGGGACCCTCGTCCCTGGCACCACCACGCGGGGTGTGGGCATCCGCAGCGACTGCCTCGGCCTCTGCCCTGGAAGCCTGGGAGCAGAGGGCTTTGGGGGGGGTCTCAGGGAGCTGCGGGGGTGCTGCCCCCACCCTGGGGCTCTGTTGTGTCCTGGCTCCCTCCCTTGGGCTCCTTCCCTGCACTCCCCCCATCTCCTGTCCCCTCCTGCCCCCAGAACCCTCCCCAGGAGCCCCTTGGTCTATTACCGATTGCAGCTTGTGGGGCTCCAGGGGTCAGGGTCACAGCATCGGTGTCACGGTGGCTGGGAGGGGGTGGGGATGGGGAGGGGGCTGGAGGGTGGGGAGGGGGCACCAGGGCATCTGCTGCTGGGGCCTGGGAAGGGGGAGCGGGACCCCCTAACCTGCCCTGCCCATACAGGGTTCTTCCAGTTCCTAGGGACCTGTGAGTGTCACTACCTCAACGGCACCGAGCGGGTGAGGTATCTGGACACGTACATCTACAACCGGCAGCAGTACGCGCACTTTGACAGTGATGTGGGGCATTATGTGGCTGACACGGAACTGGGCAAGCCTGATGCTGACTACTGGAACAGTCAGCCCGAAATACTGGAGTACCAACGGGGTTCAGTAGACAGGTTCTGCCGGCACAACTATGAGGTATCGGACACTTACATCCTGCACAGGAGAGGTGCGTGGACACGAGCCCGGGGCTGGTGGGGCTGGGCGTCCTCTGCACCCTGGGGGCCAGGCACATCCCGGGGGGGCAGCGCATCCATCCCCGTCCCGCCAAGTGCCGGCAGCGGTGCAGGTGAGCGCTGGGCTCTCGCCGCCCGCGCCCAGCTCTCTCCCTCTCCCCACAGTTGAGCCCAAGGTGAGGGTCTCTCCCATGCAGTCGAGCTCGCTGCCCCAGACCGACAGGCTGGCGTGCTACGTGACGGGCTTCTACCCCGCCGAGATCCAGGTGAAGTGGTTCAAGAACGGCCAGGAGGAGACGAAGCACGTGGTGTCCACGGACGTGATCCAGAACGGGGACTGGACCTACCAGGTGCTGGTGATGCTGGAAAGCACCCCGCAGCATGGGGACACCTACGAGTGCCACGTGCAGCACGCCAGCCTGAAAAGCCCCATCATCCATGAATGGGGTAAGGCCCCGACCCCTGCCTCCGGGGCTTCCCAGGGGTCCCAAACCCACACCCTGCTGCAGGCAGGGAGCGGGAGCACAGCCCTGGGCCTGAGCCCCCGCTCCTGTCCCCGCAGTGCTCCCAGCGGATGCCGCCAGGGGCAAGATGCTGACGGGCGTCGGGGGCTTGGTGCTGGGGCTCATCTTCCTGGCGCTGGGGCTCTTCCTCTACG